AAACAACCCCATTTTTTGACTTTGATAACCCCGATGCAGAAACCGTCAAACTAATCATGATTGGAGTTAGGCCCAGTTATAGAATGTATTGTTTTATTGTTTGCTTCCCTTTGAGTCACTGGTAAAATGTAAACTGTGTCCTAAGTCTACCCCAGTAATGACCCCCTGACGCATGATTGGGAATAGGGAGCGCAAATTTGCGCCCTTCTTAAGCCCCTAATAAGGACCTTATTTGGGGCTTATTGGGGCTCCCTCCCCCCCCCCCCCCCCGTTTTCTCCCTCCCCCCAGCCCCGTTCTGAACGCTTCGCGCTTCGCGGTCTCATCGCGCCTCCGCCTCCTCGGCGCGTTTCAGGGCGATGGAGGCCTCGAAGTCGCGGCTCTCGGCGGCCTGGGACTGGAGCAGCAGGGTCTCCTTGAGCTCGGACCTGAGGCGTCGGATGGACGAATTACTTGTGGTTGAAAGGAAACCCATGCTCACAAGAAAAGAACTTGATGGTCCAACCCATGGGGCAACAACCCATGTACTACAAACAAGTTGGATGGACGAATTACTTGTTGAAATTTGAATCCAACAATCTGTAGGACCACTTGCTGTGGTGCTGGGGCAACAAGTTGATGGTCCAGGTGATGTTTTTTGGGGGATAGATGGGGACGAATTACTTACTTGCTGTGGTATGGAATCCACGAATCTGTGATAGGACGGTTTAGTCGGGTTTCCATTACTAGGTCACATGGACCCCACTTGCTGTGGAAAGCACACTACTCCCAGGTGCTCCAGATTTGAGGTTACAATAAGGCTACCCACTTTTTTCTGTAGTCTATTTTAGTAGGGGAACCCTCCCCCAAAAAAGGGGGGAGAAGGGCACCTAGCTGGGGGACCTAGACTAATTACTTGGTGCAGGGGCAACAACCCATGTACTACAAACAAGTTGATGGTCCAGGTCTTTCTTGGGGATAGATGGACTCCAGGCCTGTGGTTGAAATGGAATCCACGAATCTGTGATACAACAAAATGGGCAAGCAAGCCCCAAAGACTCGCCCATACGGGGGAGAATCCCAAAACTGTCGCAGAAGTGGGAGATAACACATCCTGATGGACTACTTGGTGCTGGGGCAACAACCAATGTTCAACTACAAACAGCTACCTGGAGTCTCCATGACCCTTTAAAAATGGGTCCATGACCCTTGAATTTGGGTAATGACCTCATTTTTAATGGTCATGGAGACTCCAGGTAAGTAGATGGTCCAGGTGTGTTTGTTTTTGGGGATAGGTATTGGTCTGGACCCTCAACATTCCGAATCTTAAGAATGGTTTGCACAGTGCAACCCCAAATTATGGTTGGTATTTTTTTTTTCAGGTCTTTTTTGGGATTTGGACCAACATCGGGGGGGTGCCCCTTGGTTTCTCTTTTTAAAAAAAAAGACTAAAAAAGGGGACCCCTCTAACAAAGACACAACCATACGGACCTGCAAAATGATGGTTGGCTTTGTATCAAAGGGTATGGAAATCAAGTGCATGAGTGGTTTTTTTTGGGGGGCGTACTGGTTCGGGAAACCAAAAGGAAAACCAATATGTTGGAGGTCCCCTGAAAAAAAACACCCATATGGATTTCTCTTAAGACATTGCACCCTCTGGGGTCCTTTTGGCTTCTCAAGCCAGGGGTAGAGCCAAACAAAATGACCAGCCATGCCATTGGGCCTCGGATGGCTTGGCTGCCAACGGGCACTTGGGTTGACCCGACTACTGTTTTCCCAGAAAGCCAATGGTTGGGTGTGGATGGTTGCGAGTTCTTGATTTTGCACCACCCTTCAGAAACCCGATGATACCAACATCTTAGGTCTTAGGTGCACCCCAGAAATGGCTTCGGTTTCCCTTTGGCTTTCCTTGAAAGCCAAGCCCTTTCTGGGGGGCCAACTCCAAAGAAGACAAGGCACCCGGACTGGACAGCAAAACATCTGCTCCCAGCATCTCCATAGTGCGAGCAGTACTATAACTGCACCCTCCTTTTCCATTCTCTTCAGAAACCTCCTTCTCTTCAAACAATGGGCCAAAACCCTTGAAAGAGGGTTGTCTGAAATGAGAACGATGAGTGGAGAGAATGGGGAATCAAACCTTAGAATAGTTGGTCACTCGAACACCGAGACCTCCAACAAGTTGACGTTTTCGCCGCACCACGGATGATCGGATTTTCCGATTGCTCTCCCCCCCCAACGGGCAGCCTAGACCACTTGATGTTCATAATCTGGGCCCGTCATTTTGGCTGCTTCCAGGGAGGGCCAAAAAGATCATGGGACCAGTCGGCACCACGTTTGAGCAGCCATCAACGCCTGTAGGCAACCCCGTGCCGCGTAACCATTTGTTTCTAGGAAACCAACAGGACAATCGAAGCCGAAGCCATTTTGGAGGCCGAAGACAAAAGACGACACACCCAAGTAGTCCCACTGACCAACAAAGACGACAACAAAAAACAGACCCTCGCAAGTCCAACTTAAACATGCCTAAGCCTAAACCCTCAAAATTCCGCTAAAAGTAGGATACTGCCCCAAAACTGTGAGGTGATGTCCCTTTTTTATGGGTAGTTCGAGGGTTCAGGTGGGTTTTTCAAAGGGAACCAACACCAGCTTCTGAGCTTGGTAACCCCCAGAAACACGCAACACAAGGGACCCAGGCCTGGATTAAAGTCCATCCTCAAAATCCCCTTAAAAATTGAAGTAGTATGAATGCAATGTTAAGGGAACTTTGAGGGTCCAGATATACGGTGAACTACTGATCCTGCGGATAGCTTGAGGGAAGTTTGAGGTAGTTTAAGGTTCCAGGTAGCCAATTTTGCCCCAAAATGATGGTTGGTGAATTCCATTTTTGGGGGTGGTTTGGAGTCCATTGAGGTTGCAGGTCACCATTTTGCCTCCTAGCCCGACTCTTCAGCCAAAGCGAGAGAGCCCGCAGGAGCTCTGCATCCGGGCTCCAGCTGCAAAGCCTTGGCGTTCATTTGGTTCTCCGCCTGAAGCGACATCGGCCCAGGACCCAAAAGAACTACCCGGAGAAAAAAAAATCGGACATCGCCAACCATAACTCGGTGGCTTTCTGCTCCCCCGCGAAAAGCTTAACTTTTAGTGGTTTTACGGAAAACCCGTGAGTTGGCAAAAAGTTAAAGTCAACCAACCAGGATTTTGGCTTGTAGTAACCCAGGTCTAAGGGAATTTCGAGGGTCCGGGTACCTTTAAAAAACGATAATTCACCAACCATAATTTGGGTTGCAAGAACCCCATTTCTAACGGCATTGCGAGGGTCCAGGTACCCATAAAGACGGGAATTCACCAACTGCATATGTTTGGGTTGCAAATTTGGGTTGCAATGGTCAATTTGTAAGGGAATTGCGAGGCGGGCAGATTTCACCTGGTGGATGTCAGCTTTGACTGAAAGCGAAAACAAACTATTGTTTTGAGATCGACAAGGAATTTTGACCCCGTGCAAGTTTCACGAATGCTCACCTGGAGTCTCCATGACCCTTAAGAAATGGTTGGTCATTACCCAAAATAAAGGGGTGTCCATGACCCATTTTCAAGGGTCAGTAGGAGACTCCAGGCAGAAATGGTAAGCGAAGTGTTACGGTAAGTGGACCCCCTACCTGAGAAGGTCTTCCCTGTTTCAAGATGGCGCATAGACGGCGTTTCCACAAATTGGCGCAGCCAGGTTGCTAAACTGCGAGAAGCAAACGAAGAGAAGGGTGGACAGCGCTTGGCAAAGCAGCAGCGACGCCTGGCATAGAACTTGCGTACCAAAGGTGCCAATGGCACCTTCACAAGCCCCTTCGGCCGCGACAAAGAACTGAGCCAAAGCGATCCAGCACGCGAATACGCGACGCCTTTTTGCTGAAGCCGCACATGGGGACTACCCCAAAGACGGTACTTTGGACCCTCAAACTACCCATACAAAAAAAGGGAAATCAACCCCATATGTTTTGGGGCAATATCCCACTCTTAGGTTGGAATTTTGAGGGTTGCCGGCATGTTTAAGTTGGAATTTCGAGGGTCCTTGGTTGTTTTTGTCTTTGTTGAACAATGGCACTACTTGAGCGTGTCGTCTTTTGTGTTCGGAATCTCCAAACAAATTCTTCACTTGGCACCCGCGGCCACTGCGCCTGCTGCATCTCCACTTGCATCTGCCGGCACCTGGCAGATGCAAACTTCCACCGCGATTGGACAACCGGCACCTGGCGGAGGAATGGCCTCTGAGCTCAAAAAGCGGAGGCTTTCACCCAGTTAAGCCATTGCGCCCCTGATTTCTTGGCCCTTGGTATATCAACCTGGAACAACGATTCGTCAGCACGAGTCTTAAGTAGTCATCCATCCGGGCGACCTGCCGTTTCAACAACCAACCAACCTGCCGCTCAAGGGAGACCAAAAGGATGCTGTTCCAAGGGCTCCCGACCAATGGCTCGAGTAAGGAACTCGAGAAACTCATCTACTGGGTTTCCCCAGCCTATCATAGAAAACCAGTGATGACACCAATGAGGCTTGGTATTTACGTTCAGGAATCCTCGTTGCAGGGCTTAAGTGGCGCGAAAGAGTTTTCGCAATCATCTCACGGCAAAAAGCCCTGGTTCTCCATCAAGCGGTAGTCTGGAAGCATTGAGACTAGCAACCCGAGTCAATATGGCCCTGGGATTCAAGCCACCACTAAAACAATTTTGTTGGGTTCCATGTTTCACCACCCTAGTTTGACCTAAGGAGTGGCATCCTCCAAATTGGGTCCCAAGGCCTTTGTTTTAATGGGGGGGAAAGCATACCCCGTACTCCAGATGCTCAGAAGCCTTTGAGCACCTTCAGGTTTGAGGGAGTGGCTGGAGTCTCTAGATATAAGTGGCCTAAAGACTCAAACAAAATCCAACTGAACAACCCAGACAAGTCGTCCAACTAGAAATCAAGTGCGCCATAGTCAAGCCGTTCGGTTTGGGGTGCGGATGGATTTTGTTCTGCTGTTGTTCGTTGCTTTTGCTATATTGTGTTGTTTCTTTTTTTTTTCATGTTTCGTCTTGGCCAGTAAAAATGACTTGTTGCAACCCAAAACCATGGTTGGTGAACCCCGACTTTTTTCAGGGTAGTTTGAGGGTCCAAGGAGCCACATCCAAAACCGCACATTGACTTGCGGTCAATCGGACTTTCCGCGTCTTGCCAACATTCAGAAAAAAAGAGGCAATTGTTCTCAAATGCTGATTGCACGTGTCCGTATATGAAGCTGTGGCCATGTTGGGGGCCGACTTCCCATGATCAAGCCGTAATCAATAGTTAACTCACCAGTTAGAGGTCTACACCAGGTGTTGGTATTCGTCAGATCGTAGTCTTGGACGCTTCCTACCTCGCTTGCGACAATGGTTCTGACGGGGTGGGAAGTAGCTTATCTTCACTTCAAGCTCGAACAGCACTTGTCAAGGCTAAAGCAGGCCTTCAACCAGCTACATGCTAGGGCTTCACGGATGGACGAACACATTCAGCCAATGACATCCTGTGCTTGTTAAGGGCCCGTCGCATTTTTAAACACACCTGGAGGCTCCGTCTGACCTTCAAAGGGTTGGTCATTTCCCAAAAGATGACCGGGTCACCCCATTTTGCCGTCAGGTCCAGCAGACTCCATGAGTTACCCAAATCTGGACAGTTGAATCACAATCAAAACCCGGTATTAAAATGGTCTACCCAGAACCATGTGAAGAATTGGGAACGGCCGCAGCTATTTATGGTTGGGATTGTCCCTTACTAAGGTTCATCTGCCACCCAGGTTTTGATTGTGGCTCAGTTGAAAACTGGTCCTTCACCTAAATCTCGCCACTCCTCCAACTCGGGCGTCTACTTTCGACCCGAGAACCGAGCCTCAAAAACAGATGGGGTCGAATCCCCCGAATCCCAGATTAACATTCCTACTGAAAAATGGGTTCTTACCACAAATTTATAGTTGGTGAGTACCCCCCCAAATTGTGCGGTTGTCCTGCTGTTTTCACATTTTCAACCAACCAACAAGGGGTTTCCCCCCAAAAAAAGACACTTAAAAAAACACGTTCTCCCCAACATGGGGAACCAGCGACTAAAGCAGCTACACACAAAAAGGACAGGGAATTCAGAAATTCCATACAATTTTGGAGTGCAATTTGCAACCCATTCTTTAACTTGGAGTTTACATTCCACTGTTGGTTCCAAAGGCAATCTACGCGTGGAACCTAACCCCAACTCGTTACAAATAGGTGGGTGTTCCCCTCCAGAAAGGTCTGATTCCCCCCATTTCACCCAGGTTGACACCCCCTATTAATTGTCCTGGGGTGGAATTGTGTGGGGTCAACAATTCTTGGTTGACGTTGGAAGGGGAGCAAAAAAAAAAAGGCAGTTTAGTGGGGATTTCCCACTCAGCCACAATAAGCAAACATGTAAAATGTTTCCCAACAACAACCATGAATTACTTACTTCCTGAGTAGATTGGCCAGAAAAAGTAAAAACGAACCTGTTGTGTGCAGCCCACAAAATGGTCTGGATAAAAAGTTTGTAAGTCCGAAACGGAACCCGGGAAGTCCTTAAGACTCCACCCCGCGAAGTCTCCGATGAGCCTCTGGGATCTCGGTTGATGCGTCTAGGCTTGCAGCTCTCATGGACCACAAGCCAATGATATCATCTCTTATATAAATTTCTATGGGGCAGCAGCTGAGCTGGGTTTGTGGTAAAAGACGCAACCCGCGTTGCGAAATTAACATGTCTATAAGCCAAGCTGGAGCTTGGTTTGTGGTAAAAGACGCAACCTGCGTAACCCCGGCCCTGACAAAAACTGACTCTGAGCCACACCCAATTTCATCTCGCCTGTCGTCCGTTTCGAGCTTCGCCGCCCGCTGCAAGTCCGCCTGCGATCACGGGTCGTAAGCAAAGCCCACAAAGGGTGGGATCGTCCTTCTTTTTTTGAGAAGGGGACCCTTGTTGGGTCGCGTTTTCTTGTTGCGTGCTTTTTTTTGGGGGGCGAAGGGGACCCTTGTTGGGTTGTTTTTTCCTACAAAAAAACGGATCCGCTGGGCAAGTTGGAAAGTTGGTGCGCGGTTCGTTTTTTGTTTTTAATGATCCGGACGGCCCAACATGGGATTCTCTAGGGGTTGATTCCCCATTCTTTTCAGTCATCATGGTTTTTGAAAAACCCGTCGTTTCACTGTGTTTCTTGAGGTTTTCGAGAAAGAAGGATCCCTGGAAAGAACGGAAATGGAAGGTAATTTGCCCCGGAGATTCGGTTCTTGTCCTGTTGGTTGTCCACTAAAAAGGCCAAACATCATCTCAAACCAGTGGACCCACATGGCACACAAACTCTTTCGGACCTCCAGGAGGGCTAGTTGGCGAGCCATTGTTGTAACCTGTCGCACATGTGGGGTACACCACCCCCAGCAAACTCACTGAACGTGAAGCCTGCTTTTAAAAACTTTTGCTGGTTGACAAGCAGGACAAATCATAGACATGTTAGGGGCGAAGAACAAGGGCATTCAGCAGATTCTGCAACAACTACACGTGTTGTCTGCTTCGACTTGCGCCAAACACCCAGGCTCGCTTTTCCAGCTTGCTTTGAAGTAAGCTCCGAGTGAGTCAAACTCGCCAGTTTCACGGTGCCTCAGCAGTTGGCTTCCTTTGGGTTCCCTCAATGCACCATACCAGTAATCTTCAGCGAAGCTCACATATTGTCCGTGACAGGTCAGCCCTTCAAACGCCTGCGTGAGGCTTTCTCCAAAGAAATCCTTGGGGGAGGTATACCTAGCCACCATGAGGGTCATGTTGTACTTGTCACATGCGGACAGAACATCGTTGCCTGATGTAAAATAGCTGGCACTGGAAATACCGTACTGCCCTTCCCCAGACGAACATGAAAGCTCCCAGGACCCCTTTGCTTGGAGCTTCCAAGTTAGTCGCTAACATGGAAGCTCCCAGGACCTCTTTTGAAAGATCCTTGGGGGAGGTGTACCTAGCCCATCCTCGCCCCCATAAGGGTCGTGTTGAGAAAATCTCACTTTAGACCCCTCACGTATCGCCTCGCCTTCTCCCATTCCCTGGCACGTGCCGAACGCATGCCGATGCGTTCTCGCCGCTTTGGAGCCTCTGTGCGACCACCTGGGCCCTCGAGATTCCCTTCAACATGGGCTCTTGCAACCCAAACTTCTGGGGTGATGTCCCTTTTTTACGGGTAGATATTTTCCATGACCCTTAAACCATGGTTGGTCCTACCCCAAAATCATGGACCCGTTTTTATTTCGGGTCAGATTCGGAGACTGCGGGTCCAGGCACTCGAAGCATCGAATCGACTCGCCTCCTCCCTGAGCTGGGCCATCTGCAAGTGCAGAGCCTCCCGAAGGGCGGTTTTGACCGGGGCGGAACTGGTCATGGCCATTTCGCTGTGAGTCTAAAAAAGGGAACCACCTGAACACTCAACAATTTGCCAAAAAGCAGGGAATCAATCCCATATTTTTGGGGCAACAACCCATTTTAACCCAGAAATCCCAGAAAACACTTTGAATTATTCACTAATTCCACCACTTTGGGTGTCAATAACCCGTGTCTAAGTCGGAATTGTGCAGGTCCAGGCACCTCACAAGTGGTTGGTGGCGATTGTGGCACTCATACCAGATCACGTGCAATGACTTCCAATGACTCCCCCGCAAGCAAACCCCATAAACGGTCACTGACTCCCCAGACCTTCTGAGCATACGAACATTCATGGAGTCTAGGGCACCGAAAACCCAGCAGGGGTGCTCACTTCCGATCGAGCTGGGTCAGACAGAGTTTAAACTGTTCCAATCGTCCACCAAAACTTACCCCTTAAAACTCCAATCCCTGAAGTTAATATTTTACAGACATATAACCCCCAAAAAGTTGTTAAAAGTTTTTGTTTGTTTAAAGAGGTAAGAAAATGGTTTCAAGATGTTTCAAGTCCAGGAGCTTCGGCGATTCGAATCCCATGAGAACCGCCCCACCTCGCTGACCGCCAAGCCGAAAGCCCCGAGAATCGGACAGGCTTCGATGGCCAGGGACTTAGCTACGAGAGTGAATGGGGACTTAGCATGGCTCACCATTGATGGCTGTGCCTTGTTTTGGTGGGGGGGGAGGGGAGTTTTAACGGGGAACCAAAGAGGAAACCGTTTGGGGGGGTCCAACCTTGAGAGACGAGCCACCTTCTTCCTCAGCCTCCATTTGCTTGTTCGCCCCCTCGAAAAAGATGAAACACATGTCCAGTAGTGAAATTGATTCCCTTTAAAACACAAAACACCCTCAAAACTCCGACTGAAAAAAATGAAACTGCACCAACAAATTGGCTGGTGATGTCCCCTTGTTCAATGGCTAATTAGTTCTTTCGGGTCCGGGGTATATTCATTTCCGCCAATGAAAGTATCTGGAGTCTCCTTCCGACCCTCAAACAATGCTTGGTCATCACCCAAAAATATGTCGGGGTCGAATGGCAAGATTAGTCTTTGCTTCCCTGCGAGTCACCGGTAACAATGTAAAAAATGTCTCCTTCTGCCCCAGAAATGGACCCTTCTTTCTTTCTTTCTTTTTTCGGGTCAGATTTGGAGACTCCCGGACACTCCCGCCACAGCGCCCCATGGCTTTCGCTTCGCTTCGATGGCGCGGCGAGAATTTCTCGCGGCGAATGCTGCGCCTGCGCTTCGCGGTCTTGGAGCTGGGCAGAGGACTGCAGCCGCCCCAAGGCCTCCTCCTACAGCGCAGCGATGGCTGGCAGCGAAGGAAATCGGCGAGCGAATCGGTGGGTTGAGCTCGGTGGGTTGAGCAGGGCGCTGTTGGTGCTTTTGTTTTTTAATGTTTTCCATTTTTTCCCCATTTTTGTCCCGTGGTTTTAAGTGGTGGGGGCTGGTGGATTTGTTGCAGGGACTACCACAATGGAATTGTCTGCTCGCAGCATGCACGTGAGGGGCGCAATTCAGCGGGCTTGGTTGGACCAGAACGGGACTTGCCACTCAAGGCCAGACCTGGTTCAAGTTTCATGGATCAACCTCCTAAACCCTCAAAAAATCCCACTGAAACATGGGTTCTTCCCCCAAAAATATGGTTGGCCGGTGCGAAATGAAGTTGGACCTCCCCTAGTTGACCGCAATGACAGTTTGGCTCGACAAAGGCCTTTAGACACCAAGGGCATCGCAGCGCCTGTTAAAACCCATCGACTTTGAGCCAATGGCCCTGGGTCTCAGTTTCTGACCCCCTTCTTGGGGCATGGGGCACCTTCAAAGCTGAGTGGAATGTTTTTCATGGACTTACGAAGCCTTCTTTCTTTTTTTTTGGGGGGGGGGAGATAAGTCTTTTGAAAGTCACCACCAAAACTTGGTCCTAAAGTGGCCTACCCAAAGCGACGCTCAACGAAAGAGAAACAAACACAAATCAGAGAGGGTTCCTTGCTGCATCGGCTAGGACTGTCCCTTGCTAAGCTTTTTTGCACTGGTTCTAATTGCGGCCCATGCGAGCGGTACCCAAACCTCAACATCGAAACCGGTAGAACCACCCTGTAATGGGCCTAAACCGCATTTTAACTGCCTGGATCCTCAAACTACCAATCAAAGAAAACAATTCACCAACCATCATTTTAACCATTGGAACCATAACCACCGAACCACCTGACCACCTAATCTTACGGCCACCTATAACACCTAATTTTATGGCCACCTAACCACCTAATTTGTAAGGCCCGAACACCACCTTCTGCCTTCCGCGCGCTGAAACCACCCAATTCGTGCAGTCACTCTGGGCTCTCGGGCGATCCCTTGCAGCGGGTTCTCGCCCACCTGCCGAACGCCAACGCGACTAACGCGACTTCCGACTTCCCTGCCCCTCGGCCTTGGCTCCAAGTCATAGCTGCACCCTTGTTCACAGGGTGGTGTTCTTGAGTAAGGCACTCCCCTCATGAACCCAAGGGGATTTGTCAACGCTGCCCAGGAGGTTTGTTTCCTGGTTCCGAGCTGGGACCTCAAACTAACCATGAAAAAGGAGGGGATTTCGCCAATTCCATCATTGTGGGGTTGCAAAAAGCCATGTTCACGGGAAGTTTGGGGCAATCACCCAGTCTTCCAAGTTGGAATTGTGTGGGTCCAGATAGCAAGTTTTCCCCATCATTTGGGCGTATTTCTTTCAGAGCTTATGTTGGGGTGATTTTAAAGCAAGGCACCAACAGGAACGCCCACCTTTTTGTTGGGATCTCCGGGAAAAATAGCTCACACGATCTCCCCAACAGCAAGCGATGCTCTTTTTAGTGCTCGCACCACCCCGCAGCCTTCTAAAACTTGATCCTGGTGGAACCCTGATCGAACTGGTGGAACCCTGGTCGAACCCTGGTGGAGCCTTGGTGGTGGAACCCTGGTCGAACCCTGGTGGAACCCTGGTGAAACCCTGGTGAAACCCTGGTGGAACTGTGGTGAAACCCTGGTGGAACCCTGGTGGAACCCTGGTGAAACCCTGGTGAAACCCTGGTGGAACCCCTGGTGGAACCCTGGTGAAACCCTGGTGGAACCCTGGTGGAACCCTGGTGGAACCCTGGTGGAACCCTGGTGGAACCCTGGTGAAACCCTGGTGGAACCCTGGTGGAACCCTGGTGAAACCCTGGTGAAACCCTGGTGGAACCCTGGTGGAACCCTGGTCTGGTGGAAACCCTGGTGGAACCCTGGTGAAACCCAACCCTGGTGGAACCCTGGTGTAACCCTGGTGGAACCCTGGTGGAACCCTGGTGGAACCCTGGATGGGCTGAGACCCCAAAGCTTTCCGGGGAAAAAAGTCAGCTGGCCAAATGGGAGCTGCCATGCCGCCTTCTTGGAGCTCCGTGGAGCCTCGCGGTTTGGAGTCCCATTTACCCACAAGGACCATGGGTTCCAATCTCTAGACCACCAATCTGTAGACCACCAATTGAGGGTCAAGCTCAGTTGCCCCTTAGGGACCCAGAAATAAAAGGTGATAACCTTTTGGGACCTTTACTAAAAATGGACCAAAAGGGGCAAACCAAAAGGTCAAAAGGTCGGCTTTGGGCAAGTGAGTAAGTGAACCTTGAGGCAAGGGAAAAACAAAGGCCAAGTAAGGTTGGGCCGTCCTTTGGGGCTTAGCTCGGCCCAGTTTCTTTTTCACTTAGCCCCACTTGTCACAGAAACGGAGCCCAATGCTTTCCAGCTTCCACTTGTTAAGTATCCAGCGGGAAACGATCATGTAAATGTGGAGGTGCAAAGTGCTGGTCATTTTGGCTATAGTGAAAACTTTAAGTTGTCAAGCGCTGAGGTGACAGCAGGCCAACCACTTTGGAAGAAGCCGGGCTGGATTCTGATCAAAGGTGCTAAGAACCATTTCGGGTGCCCGAAGACCGCAAGTTGGTCTTTCCTGCACTTCTCCTTGAATCACCAAAATGGCGAAAGCTTAAGGCAGTGGGAACCCTGGATTACCCTTCCACCAATTAACATGGAACCTGAGGTGTCCTAAAAGACCAGTGTCCTCTCAAAGGGGCCTGTTATCAGGTTCCATGTTAATTGCTGCGAGGGTAGCAAACCTCTGGCTGAGCGATATACAGCTTGTCCCATTTCGCGGGAATCCTGCACTGTTGTGGGACACTCTGATGGGACGGGTTTCGTCTGGGCACAGTAACTGGGTGCCGATGGGCAGTTACCAGGGACCCTACGCCCCCAAAACCCCCAACCCTCCCCCCCCCCCCGTTGGCAGGTGGGTTATCCTACTATCTATGGAATAGGGATGTGTGTGTGCATATTTTGGGAGAACCCTGGTTATTTTTGGCTCCCGGCCCCCTAAACAAGAACAAGCCACGCACACAAGTCCCCAGCCCCCCCCCCCCCCGCCTCATTCCACGCGATGCCATGCCTGGCGCTTATCCTCCTCGCAGCGCTCTTCACGTCCTGGCGGAGCGGGCTGCGTGGTTTTTTGAGGGACCCGACACAACGGACCCAAGATCTCCAAAGACCCCGAAGACACAAGGTTTAGAGGATTCAGAATCAAGCCATAGGGCCGACAAGGCCATAGAACGCATAAAAGGGCCATGTGAGGTGGTTCTTCGGGCGTGTTGATGGGGTGTCTGCCAGATTTGTCTGCGCATAGCTGTCACATTGCTGAGAGTGGGGAATAGATCCACTGGAGAAACGTTCTGATTGGCAATGTCATGATATTTATTCTGTACGTTTCAGGAATGACCCCGCATTGGAAAGACCCTGGCTGACATTTTTAGGGTCCCGTTTCCGTGGGAGTCCGGAAACAATTTTCTGGGTGGCAACCTCGTATTGATACTGGGGATGCGAAATCCGCTTTTCGCACCCACATTTCAGAAACCCTGGAAGGATGATTCCCGTGCAAATCCCAGCAAACTTGGGCTGCCCTCAGGTCCCCCGCTAAAGTTTAACTGTTAGTGGGTTAAATACGGAAACTACCACTAAACACTAAAAAGCCAAAAGGCGAAGTTGAACCGGATGGCTGGCTTCGCCACCAAGAAACGTTAAACGGTTCCTCCCCATGGCTTCTCTGTGCGAGACGCGGCGGCTCCCAGGTTCAGAGCAACCCTTAGAGCGGGTCCGGGAGTCCAAATCGACATGGTTGCTCCCTCCCATCAGGTACCCGAAGCCTGACCCATAAACAATCTCCCCGACTTTAGGGGCCAAACGCATTCCAAGGCTCCGTGTTTTTTTTCCCGGGCGAGCAATTCCTTGGTTTCCCAGAGGCTGAAGCTGCGTCCGGGGTCACTCACCGACCGAATCCAAAGCTCCTGGTAGTGCTTGCAGGCTTCCGCCGCTGCGGCCCGCTCCTGTGGATGGACGAAATCCAATTCGCACCACCTTGAAACCACGGGAAACCATAACGCTTGTTGGTCTTTACAGACGGCTCGCTATTCCAGTGCTTCTCGGGTGGTGCTGGATTTCGTCCATCAGCCTCAAGGCCTAAGACCCAAGAGGTGGTCCATCCTTCCAGACAAGGCATTGAACCCTCTGAAAGAGAGTTCAGAACAACAAAACAGCCGCAGGACATATGGACAAATGCTGTTTTTTTCTTTCATGAAACAGCCTGCAGGTGACATAAGAAAATCTGAGGGCGGTCGTAGTTTTTAGGGTTGCCTTGTGCCCGAGGCATCCCAAGACATCCCGAGGCTCACGACCAGCTGCAGAGGTCGAGTAACGGAAGCGCGCTCGGGGCTGCTAAGTTGCGGCTCCGGCAACTTGTTCAGGTACCTGGACCCTCGAAATTCCAACGTACAAGACGAAAGGAAGTGGTTGCAACCCAAAATTGTGGGAATTTGTGAATTTCAAACTTGTTGTTGGGTAAATATGGTAAGCTTAGAGCCTTAGGTACCCAATGCTGAGCCACTTGAAATATGAAATTCCTCTAGAATACTCATAGGACAATCACGCGCGTAGTCATTCTGCCTTTTATTTTGAACGGTTGTCCCTCTTCCCCTACTTGCAATATATTTTAGAAATCAGCCCTCATCCTTGCGAATTTCCGGACAAGAGCGGATCAAGATGGTGAAATGTGACAAGTAGTTGACCCTTAAATGTTTTATCAATTGTTCATGTCATATTTTTACCTGGTTGCGTGAAGAAGTTGCCTACTAGTACAGTGTTGACCCCATATTAATCAACCCCAGTTCACTAACAGGGGGGATGTTCCCTCCAAAAGTGATCATTCCCAACTAAAGCCAGGGACACCCCCCCATTAATAAACTGGGGTTTACTAACGAGTTGCCTACTATAGTTCCAGGGGTTGATTACGCATTCTTTTCAACCATCCTTCGTTTCAAACACCGGATCCGTTTCCCAATTTGTTGGGCGGTTTTGTAGAAAGAAGGATGCCTGGAAAGCATGGAAATGGAAGGTACCCCTGGAATTATTGCCCCAATATGATGATTTTAGCCCACAAATAAGGTAAGATACACTGAACGGGGGCTTCTAAGCGGGTTATAACTGAACGCTTGCCAACAACTTAGTAAGTTGGCGAAACAAACACCCAAGTACTATAGTAGTTGCCTACTACTTGTAGTGGACACTGGAAGCACTGGCCCTTGATAAGAAAAGAACAAAAAGAAAAAACAACCAAAAAAAAACATCTCCGGAGCCAAAGGTCGAGGTCAGTCCTGGTTGCACAGCTCCTCTAAGCGCCCCAGCTCAGCTTGCAGCTCCTTACGATGTGACTCGGCTGATTTGCTCTTGACCCCACTAAAGCAGTCTGTGCCTTCAAGTGGGCGCGTCTCAAAACAGGCCCCACCTCTCTCTCTCTCTCTCTCCACCACCCCCCCCCGCTCTCCCGCAAAAAACAAAAAAAGAAAGAAGTGTATTCCTTTTGGCTTCCTTTGAAAACACACCCAAAAGAGTAGGGGAGCCGCCTAGTTCGCGGGTCCCAAGACCAATCTGAGGTCCTTCGGGTCGAATTCCAGAGAGGGTCTTGGGCTAGGAGGCCCGCACAAAAGAAGGTCTCTGTGAAAATGTTGGATCGGACGTAACAAAGGCAGCTGCGGGAGGGTACCTGGAAGATGACTTCCTCAAGGGGGGCCCTTGTCAGGCGCCATGTGTGTGTGTGTGTGGGAGGAAAGGAACCACAAAAAGGTCTTCCATGTGCTTTTGAGTAGAAAAACCCGTGGACTGGTTTTCTCAGGAACCAAACAACCAACCACAAACCCCCAATGTCAGCTGGCGGCCCAGTGTTGCCCGGACCATCAATCATCCAACTTCAAAAATTGGCTTTTGCAACCCAAAATTACGGAATTCGTGAATTCCAACTTGTTTGCGGGTAGTTTGAGGGTCTGCGGAGTTCATTCGTGTGCTTTTTGAGGGCGCCCCTTTTGCCAGCTCTCGAAATTCCCTCGCAACTCGAACTTTTGCAACCCTCGAAAATTACGGAATTGGTGGAGTCCAACTTGCTTGTAATGGGTCGTTCTGAAACGGCAGGTGGTTGGTTTAGGAACTCGACAAAACGTAAGCCCGGGTAATTGTTTGGCAGGTTTTGACCTGGGATGCAGAGGAGCCGTGCAAAAGCTTCATATAGGGAAACCAAAAACCGGGGGGTTCCGTCCGCGCCAAAAAGGGCCAGGGTGAAGCCGCGAAGTTGTTTGGAGGTTGGGTTTTGTCTTCTGTATCTTTGTGAGTTTGGTCTGGGTACTTGCTTGCATATACAATATATATATATATATATTTTGACATTAATTTACATAGGTAAACCCGCACGACAGGTGGGATTCCTTAGGAATCCACCTGTTGCAACTGCCAAAGACTTGGAGTCCTCCGTGTTCGTGTCGGCGTTCGCTTGCTCCTTCGGAATTCGCAGAATGGCGAGCTAGCATGGTAGGTGAGCAGGAGAAACCATCCAGGTGAAAGGACCCTGCTTTTGCAAGGGTGGCTTTAGACCGCACGGGCCTTCTTTAGAGCCCAAAATGCTTAGAATGTGTTCTTTCCATCTTGGACCCTCAAGCCCAACTGATGAAACCATAGTTCGTGTCATAGCTTCGTGGCTGAAGTGAGGTCGAGGAAAGTGTTTGGTTGGAATCAATTTGCCACGATTCACAAGGGCGTCCCCGAAGTGAAAATGTGTAATGGCTCAAGGAACTTTCCGAACAGGGCGTGTCTTTTTTTGGAGCCAGGGGAACAAAAAAAGAGGGTTTTCCGCTTGGCGTCCCTTTCAAACCAACAAGGTACCCCAACAAAACCAACTTTAAAAAAATGCTATTGCCAATTTGCGAGCTCCAACTTTTCTATGGGTAGTTTGACTGGGTCTTCCAGTAGAGAGCTTAGAATAAGTTGGATCTCTTATTTCTGTAGTCTATGTCAGTAGTGGGTTGCCCTCCCAACCAAAAAAAGAAACGGTGAGAAAGGGCACTACCGGGGGACCCAGTTCCAGTTGAGCTAGACCTCTGTGAGGCTCTCTACCATTGTGTTTGCCGGGGTTGTCTCTTGGGAAACCATGGGGCTTGCCAGTAGTCCGGTACCCCCTTCGCTCCCACGGAGGCTTCGCCCTGTTCGCCCTTTTCGCCATGCCGCGGCACCCGTCACTGCCCCCTAAAATTGGGGGGCCCGAGCGGACCGAACGGAGATCCAGAAATCATAAGGTTGTCAACTCAGTTGCCCCGCATGGGACCCAAACGTAAAAGGTGATCAAAGGTGATGACCTTTTGAGGCTATGGCTAAAAGTGGATCAACAGGCTCGCTTTCAAACATCATTGCAACTGGAATGAAATGGGACACATTTTGAATCGAGCAACCACACCTGGGCGTGCCTTCGGTGATGCTTTTGGTTTCCCTAAGGCAAAAACACAAAGAAGCCTCAAGAAGCACACGAAGACATTGGTCAACTTGTCGATTTGATACCATGGGCCCCTTGAAAAAAAAATCAGGCCGGCTGATTGGTTGACCCACGTCAAGCTTCAAATCTAAGGCCACCGCGGGGTGTGGTGAGCCCGTGTGTTGTCGGAGAAAAAAACAACTGACAAATTGAGGGACCCACAAGGTCCTGCATGGTGCTTATGGAGAATCCAGGGTTCCGAAGCCGTTTCCCCCCCACAAGGACGCGCTTGGAGTTCGGTCGGCCACCTCCATCGATCGGACCAAAGAAACGGGGGCCGCCCACAAAAGTGCGTCCAAGTAAAATCCAACGCAAGCTACGGGAAGGCCAGAGCCTCCCATCATTTTGCCTTTTGGCTTTGGGCGTCACCTCGGCCTTGGGTTGCCTTTAAGATGATGTTAGAGGGTTATGGACTGTGGGCTAAGCATCCAAGCAGTCCTCCTTTTGGGTGGTCTAAACCGTTTAAACCCTCAAACTACCCAGAACAAGAGAACTCACCAACCATCATTTTGGGGGGGCAATCACCCATTTCTAAGTTGGAATTGTGAGGATCCAGGTGGTCTAAGCATCGCCAACTTGGAGGTTGTAACTCGCAGCGGGTCGCACTCAGAGCGGCTCGCCAAAGCTCACCGAGAGTTGCCAAGGCTGCCTCGATCGCTGCGGAAGGGGGCCACTTCACAACTGGGCTTTGGCACCTCGAACTCGCCATGAAACAGAGAAGCCGTCCCATCAGACTGGGGCAATACCACCCATTTCTGAAGGGAATTTGAGGGTCCAGGTTGACGAAGAGGGGGGAAGTCACAAAAGGTCCTTTTAGGTCCATTCGCGCTGGTTGATTTTTTTGGCGAGCTGCAGCTTGTCTCCGTCAATGTCGCCCAGCGGCAAACTGAAGGATCCGGCGATGTGCCCGCCTGAAGGATCGAACTGGCCGAGCGATGGCGGGCGGCGGAAGAAAACGGGGGGTGGAGGGGTGGTGGGTGGGGGGGGGTTGGTGGGTGGGGGGGCAATGGGGGGAATGGCCAAATGCGCGAAGGCAAAGGCGGATTTGTTGGGCCAAGGCGCAAAACATTCTGGGTTTTCCCTTGGTGTTTCATGGGGGTCACCCTTTCTGGAGTCTCCGAATCTGACCCTTTAAACATGGACCGTCATGGACCCCTCTATTTGGGTACTGACCAACCATTTTTTAGGGGTCAGAAGGAACTCCAAATTGTGTAAGGTTGGACCCCCCAACGTGGCTTTGGTTTTCCTTGCGGCTTCCCGTTGAAACCAAGCAAAAAGGGGCACCCTTACCCTGAAAAAGGCACGCCTCTATGGGCGCGTGTTTTGTTTTGTTTTGAGGGCTTGAGTCTGGGTTGTTTTGGTTGTCTGCGAAGTGACGTGTCCATGGAACAGGGAATTGAATGCCCATCGACTTCGCCAACTTCTTTGATAGGGTAGGATTGTGAACAATGCTGGGTTGCAATAGCCTATTTTTAAGTTGGACTTTTGAGGGTCCAGGATGATCATTGGATTTGTTTCGGAAGTGTCGCCCGGAACCGCCGATCCTGTTTGCAGTGGTATTTCCAGGGACCCTACAAACCTGAAACCCGCAGCCGGCACCATGGCAACTTGTGAAGGCTCAAGCGCTCCTTCTTGGGGGGTCGTGAGGCGGATCTTGACTTGAGACACTCCCACCTGACACACATATTTGGGTGAGTTTCTTTTTTGTGGTAAACCTCCATGGTGGTTTTCCTTTTGGTTTCCCTTGAAAACAACCCAAACAAAGAGTACCGTCAACAAAGGACACACTCCTTTGAAGCCGACATATTACACCTCACCCCTTTGAATTGAGATTACACCAAACATTGCCAGCTACTCCCACGATTTACTGCAAAGGGAAGGGCACGGGGGAGATGTTCGAATTCCGGTTATCTAGTCTGGGGCACCTACACCCAGTGGAATTCCAGGGTCACCACGTCTCCCCAGCACATGTTTAGGGAGTTCCGGTGGTTTAGCCATGAGCTACTTAGATTATTCGGACGTTTATGACTCCGGCAACAAGAAGAACACTATCTAGGTTCTATTTGGGCACGCCACCCACACCTATTGATCCTCTGGGTATTCAGACCCCCCCACCCGAAATGGACATGGCAATTCCTTCAAGGTGGTTTCCCTTTCTTTACTGTCCTAACATACTGTGGGTGGACGAAATCCACTTCGCACCACTTTGAAACCATAACTGTTGTTGGTATTTAAAGCGGAATCATCATTCCAGGGCTTCTGAGGTAGCGCGAGAAGCGGATTTCAACCATCCACGGTCTCCACCAACGAAGGGTCCCTCAGCTCGCCCGAGCCGCCGCGCCTCCCGGCAAAGGCATGCCAAGGCCCAGCCCCAGCGAGGCGCGCAGATTCCGCATGGAAGCCGGCGTCCTCAGAAGGCGAAAACACCACGTCCGGGTCCAGGGTTCATCTCAAAGTAGGCGCTGGAACCCCCCCTTAAAAAAAAAAAAACAACAATAAACTCAGGGGATATCCCCAACAGCATGTGGTGGAACCCTGGTGGAACCCTCGTGGAACCTTACCTCAGGGCCGCCCCGAACCACCCCGGAGCCTATCTGGGCTGAGACCCCAAAGCTTGCAGCTGTTGGGGAACAACAAAAAACAAAGGTTGTTTCTTTTGGCAATCCTTTTAACCAAAGCAAGTGAAAAATGTTTCCTTTTTGAAACCTGCTCCAATTGCTCGAGATATATCATAGGTTATAACCTAGTTAAAGGTAGTGGAAACTGAAACCACTTACCCCTCCCCCCTGACTTTTTCGTTGTAACCTCCTGTAAATCCTTGCGGCCAAGGTTACATACTGTAAAACCATGCTTGAAGCCATTGCGTTAGTTGGTGTTTACGTCAGGGAATCGTTCATCATTCCGTTAAGCACCGAGAGGGGTCCCCGATTGAGGTGGGATTCATGTCCACCAACCACTTTGCAGGTGGTTCCAACTCTTAAAATTCATTCCTGGACCCTCAGACTATGTTTTGTCAAAAGGGAAAGCACCCATAATTCCAGGCAATCACTCAGTTTATTTAAGGAATTTTCCGAGGGTCCAGGTTGGCCAGCCGTTTCGGCCAACAGTTGCCGAGCTGCGCCCCGCGCCGGTTCAGGAGCAAGCCGGCACCTGCGAAGACCTGAAGCTGGAGATGAGGCTTTTGAAGGGAAAATTGGGGGAGGTGGGGGTGGGGGAGGGGGTGGGGGAGGGGGTGGGGGTGGGGGTGGGGAAGGGGGTGGGGGAGGGGGTGGAGCAGGTTGGGGGGTTGGGGAGCAGGGGTGGGGGAGGTTGGGGGGGGTGGAGGAGGGGGTGGGGGAGGTGGGGGGTGGGGGTTTTCCTGTTAGCTTGCCCTTAAACCAACACAGGGATACCCCGAAATTACACCAAACAGGCCGAGGATTGCACACTGCTCGTTGGTGGCCAGATCATATCAAATTCAAGAACACTTCTGGGTTGTAAAATTCAATTGAGAGGTTTCCTAAATTCAATTGTGAGGTTTTTTGGTGGGATTTTTTGAAAACAAGAGCCTTAAGTGTTTTTGTTTGCTCCATTGGTGTGGGCAGCAAACCCCGAAGCAGCACCTGCATCAGCACCCCCCTGCCCCCCAGCCCGACCGTCAGTCTCACCGCCACCAGCATCTCAGCAGTTGAGGCACCTGCACCAACACCCCAAAATTGCGTCTTTTTCAGCCGCTCGCACGGTCACCAACAGCTCAAACAGCAGCTGGGAAAAGCACCCCAAAACTGCATGCCCCATAGCGTCATGAGCACCTCCAACAGCACCTGCGCCAGCATCCCAATCTGCTAGCACCCACCTTAACTCCAACAGCACGCGGCAGCCCCCGGCCGTCAATCTCGCAAACCTGCGCTAGCAACATCACCAGCACCCCAAACAGCACACCAAAGCAACACCTGCATGCCCCCCTAGCACCATGCCGTCAATCTTTCAAAACT